ATACATTGCATATATTGACAAAGCAGGGTTGTAATACATTGGCGTGAGCATAAAAAATACTTTGCATATTATGTACACGAAAGCAACCAAGCAGTAGTAGTAATATTAAAGAGGAAAAAAATAAATCTCATGTTTAAAACAAAAATCAATTTTCTTTGTTATATAACAAAAATATTCAATTAATATAAACAAACCAGGCCTTCAGCTCACTAAAAACTGATAAAAGAAAATTATATTTACGGTTCTCATTATTTCAGATCAGTATAGTCGGTGGGATATATCGTGTGTATATATATATATATATATATATATATATATATATATATATATATATATACATCTATTCTCATTCAATAAACCAGTAATTCGCAAATTCAAATTCCATCGCATTTTTATATACAAATTCTTATCTCTAAATATGCTACAGTTTGCTACCAAAATAATCATTTATGACCTGGATTCTTAACACCGTTACAATATGTATAACAATTTACCGCAACTGCAGCCACAACAGCCGTGGCACGTCAATATAAAAATAATAAATAATATTCAACAATGCCACACAAACCGTAGCTACAACCACCACAGCCGGGAGTCAACAGTACGTGGTAGCATAAAGCAAAATGGTACGTGCAACATATGCAACTATTTGTGGCATGCATTCATATGCGACCTACGCAGTTTTGCACATTTTTCACACTTCCAGTGCATTAGAAGCAAATAGAGCAACCGACTTGAGTGGAAATAAATTGAAAAAGTTTGATATAGAAGGTAATGAGAAATGGAAAAGGCAAAGAAAAGAAGTAAATATATGTTAAACTAAGCCACATTCGACAATGTTGCTGCATGTTGGAAAAGTTGCATGTTGCATGCGTGATAATTTTAAGTCTTTCGCGGTCCTTTATGTCAGTTGTATGTGTATGAGTGATGTGTTAGTGATGGCAATTCTGTTCGGCGATTATTCTGAAAAAGCTTTTAACCATGGATTCTAGTCATATATCCACTGATATTATTATTTTTAATTTTATTTTTACTTAGATATATATGTGGACGAATTCTTGGTTTTCTTATCTTATACAATATTTGTAGTAACGAGTGTGCATGTTTGTTCATTAATAGCAACAGCAAGTGGCTCGTGCTGATTTTTCCAGAGAAATATTAAAAAATACAAAAGAGTTGAGCTTTTTTGAGCACTCAAAACATCGACTTGGCGAGCATTCTGCTGTATAGCTGACACCAAAGAAACTTCTCTTTATTCCCGAGCCAGAGCGGCAAACTTGCTTCGACAGATGGATCATACGCAAATATTTTGCAAAATAATAAAGCTATTTTCCATTATTAATATTTGTTTTTGTTCTCTAATATCGAAATATAAAATCCTCCTTTAGTAATAAATGCTAGCAAACGCACCATCGAGACTTAGCTGAGAGACAACCTGAAAGCCAACAGCACGGTGAAAATGAAGAGCCAAGTCATTCATTCAAGCGCACTGTAATATATGTATGTATGCTTATCCATGACCAGCTTGCCACAAATAATGAACTATCTATTCCACTTCACTATACGTTCCCCATTTGATGCTACAATACATATGGTTGTCATGTCGTCCTCTGTTCGCCATATCCGCAAAACTCAGTGTTGTGTATGCTCTCACCCTTCTTTCCTTTACGCATTTACGAATGGTATGCACAAAGAAGAAAGAATTGATTTTCGTAATATAACAGACAAAGGAAAATTGATTTGCTGTATTAAGGGGTTACATAGATCTTGAAACTTCAAAAAACTCATTTTTTTTTTTGACAATTTTTTGTATGTAACTACAAAGTGTGGAATATTTTTCTCAAGTTTCAAGTCGATCGAGACGAAACGCATTTTTTTAAACCACTTTATCGAAATCAGTAGCCAAATTTTCTCAATGATTATTGCAGCGATCGAGTTCAAATTTTCTACAATTCTTTTAAGCATGTTTTTGTAGTCCTTGAACGAAAGATTTATTTGATCTTTGATTTCAGCTCATTTTACAAGCCAATATGTAATTTTATGCAAAAAATTACGATTTTTGTAAAAAACGCTACAAACATTTCACTTTTTAATATTTTTAAATTTTTCTTCATTCAGGGACGAGGAAAATTCACCTCTTTTAATAAAATTTGGATTTTTATTACAGATAAAAATTGAAAAAGTTATCATGACTACCGCGAAAGCACCTTCTTGTGGACGGTCTACTACACCCCACTGGTAATGTCTTAATTTATACTATTTTTAATTTAAATATAGAAGAAGTTTGCGAGAAGAGCAACGATTAATATTATGTGCCGAACAAAAAATTTCGAATTATAAAAAATAATATTACTTTTTAACTTTTTTCTATTTTCTGGCAACTCTAACTTTTGGTATCATGAAAATAATGCCAAAAATTTTAAATAATATCGAAATTCCATTTTTATGATATATTCAATATAAATAGGGTTTTTCGCAAATTTCTTTGTCTGCTAAATAGGGGCTGCTTATCATGTGAAAAAATCGCGTTTAAAAATTCGAAACGGTGAAATAGTATGCAGTGGGCTATTGCAGAGAAAAATTATAAAAAAAAACTTGTGCGAGTGAATCAAAAAAATAAAATTAAGATGCGTTTTATGAATTCAGTGATATAAGTTTTTGAGCTGAAAATCGGATAGTTAAAAATGTATATAACATATGCATTCGAAGCGTGATCAGAAACTTACCGTTATTTTAATTTTCTTTCAAAAAGTATTTATTTATTCATCAATAACTATATTGTCTCCTTTAAAGTAATCCCCCTCAGATATAATGCCCACGTTTTTTCAAAACCTCGGAACACTTCTGAAACGAGTTTTTTGATTTCGCCAATAGCTCCTATTTCGATTTTTCTTTTATCTCCTCAATCGTGGTAAAACGCTGTCCTTTCATCGGTGTCTTCAGACTTGGGAGGAGGAAAAGGTCAGCGGTGGGCAAGTCCTGTTGGTACGGTGCTTGAGGCATGATAAAGGTTTTGTGTTTGGCCAATCCGAACGATATGCCAATATCATCAGCAACCTCTCTGATAATGATTCGACGATTATCCAAGATATTTTCTGAATACCCCTCGTATGTAAGAAGAAAATTTTGTATTTTTTTTACTGGTAATACCTAAGTACCACCACCACGGTGTATCTTTCTTTTGCACTCTTATTTGATTGCGGTAGTCCTCGGCCCACTGGATCATATTTTCAGCAAAATTGGCTACGCCTTGCATCTTGCACATAGTCAAAAACCGTCAAATCTGCGTTACCAAAAAAAAAAAAGAAAATATTTCCCATAACTATTTTATGAGAATTACGTACATATATATATATATATATTTTTGAAAGGAAAAAATTATTTTTTTTCATAATACAAGGTATGTTCAAAAAATATCGCGAATTTTTGGTTTTTTCGAAAATCATTTATTTATTCATGAATATCTATTTTGTCCCTTTCAAAGTAATCCCCATTATTATTATATATTATTATATATATTATTATATATATTATTATTATATATTATACAATCGTGCCAACGGGTTTTCCAATCTTCGAAGCACTTCAAAAAATAATTTTTTTTTTATCTTGCTCGGCGCAGTCTTTATCTGGTCAATCGTAGCGTAACGTCGTCCTTTCATGGGCCTCCTCAGTTTATGAAAGTGTTGTTCTTAGAAAAGTAACTGTATTTTTTAAACTATAATTACTAGTGCGCTAATATTCGGTCCTTAGCTACATATCAATTCTCGCCCACTGTATATATGACGAAGCTCGCTAGGTGATGTCAACAGTTGTCATAACCTTATAGTCTATAAACCTTGCCTTTTTTCAAAACGTTATTTTTGCTTCGGTTTTTTATAGAAATATGACTGATGCAATGAATAATAGAAGTTAATTTATTCAACTTGTTGCTCTGCGAAATACGTCTTCCAGATCCATGTAGCACACTACGGTAAGTAATAGAATAAGCCAGAAGGGCTTAAGACTTGTATTAAATTTCTACTCAGCTCACATTTCAACACAATTATTTTATCTGAAGAAAACTAGAGTAAGATAAGTAACTCGTAACTGAATTAGATAATCCTATGAAAGTAATCAGAACCAGAAACAATAAGAATTTTATATTTTTTCAACAAATATATACGGAAATAGAGTTGAGACTCTGAGAAGATGGACACCAACAGCAGTAATTGAGACACTCGCAGTATCTGGGATATTTTACCAATTTTATGGCCATAATAAAGTTGGACGAAGGAAAGCTAATCTCCTTACTGCTGCCAACGCAACTCAACCGTTGTACAAAGCATTGCAAACTGCAACTCTGCACAAACGACTTTATTCGCACGTTGGTTAATCGCTGTTTACAACATTGGACAGTTAATGCGCCCATGAAATAACGGACAAACATCGAGTACCGTTGCAGTTAGTGCGATGCTAACGCAGTCGGTCATAAGCCACACCTGCTGCAAATTCATTAACGAGTAGTTGAACTTAGCAGTTTACAGTTTACTTACTTATATACACACATACATATTATATATACGCGGAGCCAAGTGCTACTAGAGGTACAGGTTTTGTGGTGGACACAGCCTCAGCTGCGCGATTACCAATGAATCGGTTAATTGTTTTTTCAGAAGGCTTTCAGTTTACGTCAATTACGTTTGATTGCGATTTATGTAGTAGCGTAATACATAAAAGCTAATTTGCCAAACTTTTCGTTCAATTAATAAACATTTTCGTGGTCAATTTCAAGTGTGGTAAACTCGTTTTGAGAACATCCGTGTATATATCTATTTTTTTTTTTTTTACAGTGATTTAAAAATGCTTCTTTTAAATATATTTGCATGACTTAAATTAAATTAACATAATTTCTTTGAATGAATAGCTTCATTTACTTGATTCCGACATTAAATAATTTTCATTTCAATTTTTTCGATGGCGAAATTAAAAAAACTTGCTTACAAAACTTAATGAAATTGACTGTCAATCCTGACGGATTTCGTAGAGAGTTATGGATTTCAGGGTATACTCGGCGTTTTAGACTTCCATCAGTATTTCCTTCAAGACATAATTAATGGAAAATGGTTATCTTTAGTTAAGCTAATGTCTCGGATGGACTTCTAAAAAATAAAAAAAAATGCTATTTAAAACCTGCGAAAGCTTCTGGTCTACAAGATTTTGAGGTTCTTCATGGCTGCAACTGATGTCTTGCATGGGAACAACCATCGCTTCTTTGTTAGGTTTCAAAATTCAGAGAGTTCCACGCCCTAGATCAAGACTGGATTTGGCTGTCAGCGCCAATTGGAAATACCAAGTGAAGTAAGTCCACCTCATCCAACCGAGCTGTAGGAGGTCCATCCCAACTTCCGCTAAGTAGCAACTATCTTTTTAGTTGCTGAACTAACTTAACGCCGCCTTATAGCCCCACATAACAATGTTAGATTCCACGCTGCCAAAATGCAAGCGACCATAAATACTCCGGTAACCTTTCTCTCTAAAACTTTTGAAGCTGGCTATTTGGATGTTTTCTTTATCTTTATTTGTCTCGAGAGGACTTTGATTTTCCACTGCCGATTTAATGGCTGATTCGGTGCTTGATTTCCAGGCTGAATAACCTAGGCAAAAAGAGAGCATAAAAATTTTGCATGACTACAGAGATGTGGTTACTGACTGATGTCTGGCCTATAATGGGTCGACCAGGTCTAAGCGCACACTGGTAAGGTTCGAACAGTTCCTTATTTGCGGTATTGAGAATACTTTTTTCTTGCTAATTGGCATGTACTGAACAGTTATCATTTGAATTGGGTAAAAAAGCCATGCAGTATGCAGTCCAACAATATTCTACAAAAAAGTTGATCATTCAGACTGTGGACTTTCCTCTTGTTATGGATTAGGTAGACTATTTAGAATACTTCACTCACAATAAATACTTTGGATTTCTTATATTCAGCCAGCAATACTGAACTACTTTTTCCTTGATAACGCTCTTTTATTAGATAGAAGCCCTCAACCTATTCGTCTCTCACAGCACCCGAGTTTGCCAGAAAGATTTGAATTTCTTTCTGTTGTGTAGGTTATATATTTTTATTGACATATTATTGTACATACCAAACCTTAGTATAATATTATGAGTGCATTATTTTCTTGAGAAATCGTTGGTATAAGAAATAGCTAATGTCCCGAGTTTCGTCTACGAGAAATCTCACACAAGTTAAAGATTGATTTTGGTTCCTCAGATGAAATCCAAAGTCGTCAATTAATTTGAAATTAATACATTTTATTTTCCCTTTCCATCTGTTGAAGATCGTAGTATCGCGACTCCTTATATCGTCACAATAGCTGAGTGGTTAGCGTTTACGTTCTTGAAACTTACGGCTCGAGGTACAACATGCTTGAATGAGCTAGTATTTAACTAGTATGAAGCTGATTCATAGTCGGACATAACTGCTGCTAGCATGGCTAGAAGATGAAATATTAAGCAATAAATGTCAGGGTTCACACGTGCAGAATCACATTTTGGTTGATGGGTCTCATTGGTTTTGCCGTTATTTGTTTTGGCACAACTTTTTTGTCAAAGCATTGGTTGGGCAGCTAGCTGTAATTCGCAATACTTAACTTCTTTTGTATCATTCCTCGCAACAATGGCTTCGCAGTGCGATAAATATACAAAGGTACGCCAAAGACTCTTTGGGATATTGGTTGACGGTTGAGAGGTCGGAAGTGGTAAGTTGTGGAGACAACAGCGCTAAATTTGGTTGAGCTTTTCCACATATTTGTTGTTTTTGTGGTGGCCTTTAGATACACGGGGAATACTGTTAGCTGCTGATGACTTTATTCTAACTTACTATCGGTGCAATCCGAGATATTTTTGTTATTTTAATTTCCAATTGGACAAAAAAATATTTTTACAAAAGAGAAGAATAGAATTTTCCACACCTATAAAATAAACTTCGCGATTTCAGTAGCATCAAGAGAGTTAAAATTTCAAATGCTAAAGTAAGCTTCATAAAATGCATAAAGAAAAAAATTTTTTGAGGAAAACAATGACCCAGAGCAAGCACAGCAAGTGAAAACAAAAAAAAACTGCAATTGGAAAAATTATTACAAAAAAAATATTAAACATATTTAAAGACAACAACAGTACCGCACGAGGAGAACAGGAAATATGAATTTCTATTCCTTCATACATAAACCTACTCGTACGTACGTTCGCACGTAGGCATTCAAAGAATTTGGCGTGTCGCTGATCAAATTGATAGCGTTGATAAATTGCGTGCTTAACGGTGCTGAAGAGGTAAGTGAATAGACCAGCATCACTTACAATTTCTCATTGGATTAAAAGTGATGCGTGTTTGCTTGAGTGTTTGTGTGTGGGCGTTTTTGAGCAGGAGGCATGTGAGGCAAGGCTCGTTAATTCACTGGGGAAAAATTTTTAAAATACCAGAAATACTTAAACTTAGTAGGTTTCCCATTGATTTTAATTTACTGATAGTGACGGGAAAAAATACCGCTATTTACGTATTTATTTCTTTTGGTTTTGTCCTTCTTTTCAATAACTTAAAAAATATGAAAATAATCACAAAATGGGCGAAGGAAAGCATGCCTTGCTATTGAAACCTAAACTTGCTCTGTCAAACCCACACAAAAGCGAATACCATAGTCTGCGCTAAATACCGTAAGCTAAGCCTACTAAATATCGCACTTGATGTCCTATCGAACATATTATATGAGAGACTAAAGCACACCGCAAACGAGGTGATGGAACTTTACCAGTGTGGCTTTAGACCTGGTAAGTCGACCATTGGTAAAATTTTCACCATGCGATAAATCTTGGAAAATAACTACGAGAAGAAGATCGGCACTCACCGCCGCTTCGTCGATTTGAAGCAAAATTCGACAGCACGAAAAGGAACTAGTATCTCCGCAAAATTTAAACGGTCTGGTAAACTAACGATGGACAACATCAAAACCGAGGTCAGAGTTTAGAAGGACCTCTATGAGCTGGTCGGTACCAAACGAGGTTTCAGATCGGGTGACTATTTATCGTGGGAGTTCTTAAAATTGTTGTTGGAGAAAATAATTAGAGCTGCGAAGCTAAATAGCCAAAGTACAATATTTCACAAGAATTTACAACTACCGGCGTAAACTGACGATATTGATATCATCAGCATTAACAACCGCGCCGTTGGTTCTTCTTTCTCTTCTTTTGATTATAAATTGTCAACAATAATGATCCAAAAAATCATAAAAACGAGACTTCTTTATGGGGTGTTCCCGAAGGCTGACCCGACGTCACTGTTTCGAACTCATTCACACTACCTCCGACCAGCGGTTTATGTAGCTCTTAGTTAGTGCTAAATAAAGGGTGGTTTTTTAGCTATTATCTTTTTGGCAACACTAGTTTAAATAGCTGACGCATGTTTCGTGTTTTGTGTCACTGTCAAACATATTCAGTTTGGTCTAGAATTTAACCATGAATCGTCCTACATACAAACAACTTTTACAACATATAGAATTTTAATATCAAAATGCGTGCTCTGTTAAGAAATTTAATCCCGCGCTTCTTCCGCGTGCGCTTCGAAACTCATTTTTGGCTTGATGGGTGCGTAAGTAAGCAGAATCAATTTTTGGAGTAAATATCAGCCCGAAGCATTGCAAGAGCTTCCAACTCATCAAGAATAAGTCACAGTTTGAAGTGGTTTATAGGCTGGTGGCATCATTGGACCGTACTTCTTAAAGGATGATGCGAAACGTAACGTAACTGTGAAAGGTGAGCTCTACCGTGAGATGATATCAATTTTTTTTTTGCCCGAAATGCAAGAGCTTGACTTGCACGACATGTGGTTTCAACAAGACAGTGCCACATGCCACACAGCAAGGGTAACAATGGACTTATTGAGATGCGAGTTCGGTGAACATTTTTTTTCATGTTCGGAACCAGTCAATTGGCAGCCTAGATCGTGCGATGTAACGCTTTCAGACTATATTTTATGGGCCTATGGGTCTAAAGACAGGCCCGTTTCAATTGACGCATTGGAGAACACCATTGAAGCATTTATTCGTGAGATACCGGCCGAACTTTTGTAAAGAGTATGCCAAAATTGGACTAAGCGGATGGATCATTTAAGGCGCAGTCACGGTCATCATTTGCATGAAATAATCTTCAAACATTTAGTTATATGGACCGTACTATCGATTTTTATATTAACTGTCCTATAGCTCTTAAAAAATCACCCCTTAGTAAGTCAAAGAAAAAGGCGAAAAAACTAAGCAGATAACAAGGCTAAACTATGGATACATAATCGGGTGCGCAGTCTTAGTTTAAAGGTTCGATCCACCAACCTCTGACCTAGATCAGAAGATATTTTCTTTTATTGGGATTAAATTTCCTATTATGCACCACATGCAATACCTTTTAAGCCATTATAAAGCGTCTATCGAGCGTAAAAAAAAAGCTTCTCAAAATTTTTCAGACTAGCCTCACAATAATATAAGTTCGTAAGAATTCTATAATTAAGTAAATAATAAATGGATCACCATATTTGCATCTAAATGTAAATCCATACACACGCGCAGACAACGCGTGTTCTTCAGAGCAGGAAGTACTTGCGGCCAAACAGATTTAGATAAGAGCAAACACGAAATGCAAACATGCGAATTGACTGCATTTAGCACTTTAATTGTTGTTAATAGGCAGAAGTGTTAAAAGCCGGGTAACAACATGAAGTTCATTGATAAGCGCTTTTTATGGTTGGAGATGTGAAATGGTGAAGAGACCGATGTACGTACATCAATCCCGGCCAATACACAAGAGTTACCATCAACTTAAGGATAGTCATTAAATTGAATTTAAAAAAAAGTCAACTTATTGAAGTAAAAATCTGCTTTTAAGAAAAATATTGGATTAGTTCGATTTGGTTTTAGAAAAATTCTAAATATTTGAATTGCTCAGTTAAAATCTGATATGATAATTGGTATGAGTCTTATGAATAAATTACGTTTTAACCATTACTCTGTGATTTATAATTAATAAAAATAATTCTGAGGATTTTCTAAAATCTTAGTACACAACAATTTTCCGGGTTGAGTTTCGCGAGAAAATATAGCATTAAGAGCAAATCCCGAAACTATGCTCTCAACACAATAAGCCAAATATGAGGAAATTCCAAAAACGCAAACTAGACACACATTGCACCAAAAAACAAAACCCCTCGGCGGTATTGTAACCTTGCTTGCTGCGGCAAGTATTTTGGATTACAGAAAAGTAAGCAACATTGCGGGCATTCAAACACCACCTGCATGTATATATGTATATTCAAGTGAACATTCACAATAATGTTGCATGTTGTTGCAACATGTACGCGCAAAGATGCTCTTGCGTGATTAAAGTCGAACATGAAGCATGAAGGGTTCAATAAATAACCAAAAAATACTATTCACACGTATGAATACACGGCATTAAAAAAATTATAAAAAAAAAAAAAAAAAAACAAAAAGATTTTACGAAACATTCCGCTCATTGTAAGCACAAAAATAAAGGAGAACAAAAACTTGCGCTGAAAAGTCTGTTGAGGGTAATCACTAGTCGGTAGATAGCAGCAACATTGAGTTGACTGCCATTTATTTATTTATTTTTTTTTTTTTTTGTACTTATTTCTTGGTGGGTTTCTCAAGAAATGTCTAACTGTTTTATTACTCAAAGGAATGTGCATAAAAACTGCGTGTCAAGCTTACTTTGGATATTCAAAATAATACTATTTCGCACGTCCAAACAACACAGC